CCCTGCTCCACTGGTGGCAGTTGTTGCTCCTACGGTCACGCCTACACCGAAGCGCGCAGACTCAACAATAGTCCCAGAAAAACAAGGCGCACCTTTAACCGAAGTAACCAAGCCTATACCTTTGTCTTTTGATGCGGGCGGATTCTCCGGCGAAGACAGGAAACCCAGTAGGAGTTAGGCCAAGTCCCTCGCTCGCTGTAGCTTCACCCGACTCAGCTCAGCCTGTCAGTCCCGTAGATCCTGCTGTTGGAGCCAAAGACTCACCGGTTAGCGCCTTCACCACTTGCCCCTGAGCCGCTATATGATGATCCACAAACATCATTCTTGGCAGTGTACAGAGAGAGTAAGTCTACTGCTTGCTACAGCTTAAACTGCTGACGAGACCAATTGTGAGCCTTGAATTTTTTTAAACACTGTACTGTCATCTTCTCTTCGCAGATTGCTTAAGACTATATCGAGCATTCTTGCCTTACACGAATCACCATTACAGCGTCAGGACCACCTTTTCTCCACTGACAGTCTTCACCTCATCCAGGACATTGGGCAGCTCTTCTAATCCATGCCCAACAACCCTGACCGGGAGCGGCACCCTGTACTTGCCCTCCTCTACAAGCTTGGTGAGCGACGGGATGAGCTGCTTGCCACCCTGCATGTCGACCATGGACCACGCGCTGACGTCGAGCTTGTTGACTCCCTCCGGTACTGGAACTGGCACGCCAGTGATGATGGCAGCGTACCTTTTAGAGCCGGCGGGGTCGAGCACGTCGCTGATGTCGGTCTGGCTGGCACCGGCCGACACGCAGTCGATAATTACCTCGACGCCGGCGGCTCCCGGCGACGCGGCCTTAATATCAGCCACGACGGAGGGAGACTTATAATCGACGACGGACGTCGCGCCGAGGTCGTTAAGTCGCGCGTAATGCTTTACCGAACTCGTTGCCAGGATAGGCAGCGATGGGTAGGCTTTTCGCAGGAGCTGAATCGCCGCGGCGCCCGTGGCGGAGCTACCGCCCAGGACAAGAATCGAGGAGGGCGCTTGTCCCTCGGTCGACATGCCCTGCAGGAAGGGTAGCGGGATCTTGAGGCTGTTGACAATGGCGCAGACGGCGGTGACGAAGCAGACGCTGGTAAACGTCAGGTCAGCTCTGGTGCGAAACCCGCACGCGTCGATCACTCGATCTGGATAGACCTACGGCAGTGATGCAGCCTCCTCCAGTCCGATGTTCTTGGGCTTCTTGGCGAGGAAGGGCGCTGGCACCGCGACGCGCTCCTGGAACGCGCCGCCCCAGGAGACCTCGTGGGCTCCGCTGCCCTCCCAGCCCACGACCTCGTCGCCGGGCTGTAGGTCGCGCACGTCCGAGCCCACGGCTTCGATAATGCCGGCACCCTCGATGCCCAACACGCGCGGCCAGCGCGGTATTAGTATACCCAGGTCGCGCTGCTTCGCGTCAATCAGGTTGAGTGCGATGACGCGCTGCCGGATCAGCACCTCTTCGGGAGCCAGCGTGGGCTTGGGCACGTGCACGATCTTGAAGGGGCCGCCCTGTTGCATGCACTGCAGCTGAGCGGTCGTCTCTGCCGTTGCGGATGTCATGTTTGCGGTGCTTATCGGAAATCTAGACGCTAATGTAGATGTAAGGATTCTACGGTTGTTTCTTGCTTGGTCGAGCTTGGAGGGAAGGTTGATGCAAGTCGACGACGTCCATTCTCCCAATATATAGCCTTGTAGGCTGTTCGCATGAGCCGTCAACTTGTCATCGTATTCTCTTGATGCTCTAGACTTGAATTGAAATCATCGGCCCGTCTTTGTGTCCCACTTAGAGTACAGCCAGTCTAAATATTTAGCGTCGCGCGGCTTCTCTAGCTTCCGCCACCAAAGTTAATATATAGGATATAGAGATTTGGCACACCTGTTGCTACCTTGCTATCACCCTCTCACTATCATACCCTCGCTATCGCCCTACCCTCGCTGTCGCCCTACCCTCGCTATCGCCCTACCCTCGCTATCGCCCTACCCTCGCTGTCGCTATGTCTCTCATACTAAATAACCCTACGAAGCTAGCCTCGATGCGACTCCGCCTCTTCAATATATTAAAATAGATCGTCCTGACGGCGAAGCAATTTGACGCGTATTAATCGTATATATTCAATATATAGAGTAGAAATAAGATACTAAATCCTTATATCGAAAACGGTTATAAGTACTCTTATTAATAATATAGAAGCTAACCTATTAAATAGCTTAAATTAAAAAAATCTAATCAACGTATAACTACTTTACGTATAATAATCAATTACAAAATAAAGCTAAAGCTTACTACCCACTATATATTATCGTTAATTAAAAACCTCGAGTTTTATACTATTTAAAAGCACGCTAAAGCGAAATATAATCACGATCTAAACTCTTTAAATACGTTTAAAAAAAATAAAAAACTTAAAGAAATAGTAGCTAGATAAATAGCTTTAAGATATAAAGCTTATTAAATAAACGACGCTATTAAATCTACTCACCGTTCGAAGACTAAATAAACTCTCATTAATGCTAATAATATATATCTTAAACGTTAGAATATTTTAAACGCTAAAATAAACTAAAAGAAGGCGAATCTTAACTTCAGATTAATAGATAGTAAGTTATATTCGTAAAAGAAATAATAAGTTAATTTAACTAATTAGCTAGAATCAACTAGCTATTTATATTAAAATATTATTACTATATATTATCAAGATAGAAAACTTACTTATAATACTATTTTCGCCTTATAAGTAAGAATAGAGATTCTATATATACGAAATTATCTTATCTTAATAGATTTCACATATAACTTAAATTAATTAAACTAGTTTCTATATACGATAGTTATAAAAGATAAAATAAAGTCTTAGAGACTTTATACTTATCTTTTAACTATAATCGAGAATAATAATATTCTTATAATTATTTTCGCTATTATTAAGATATAGTATAGCGATTATAATAGTTAAAAGCTTCGATATATACTTACTAATAACTCTATAGCAGAGTAAAGAGCTATTAATATCGAATTTTTAGGCCTTATAGCTGATAAGACTAAGGTTACTTATCTATTATATATATTCTATTTTAAATAGACTCTAAAGCGACGATTTTCTAGCCCTCGCTTAAAGAAGATATATCGTTATCTACGTTCTACCCTTAGATATCAAAAAACTATATATAAAGTGAAGAACTTAATTCATTAAGCTTCTAAAGCGGCTTCGAACGATAAAATTAGAAAATATATTAAGAAAGAATAATAAAAGACGAGGGAGTAATAAGCTATAATCTTTCGATTACACTCGCCTTTATTAATTTAAATCGATACTATCTCCTCTATTAAAGAATATTATTCGAATCTTAAAAATAAGAAAAGTAAGAACGTTCTATAGCGATTTAGCTTAATTAAAATCGTAAAATATTCTCTTATAATAGATAAAGAGTAAGATTAACAGGCTGAGGATCATATATATAAGTTTTAATTAAGAATCCTATCTTAGATAGCTAAGTATTTATATCTTTATCGCTTATCTACTTCTATTTAACATCTTATAATTAAATAAATTAAATTAATTAATTAGGCTCTAAAGGCTAATAACAAGATTCGAGAATTAAATAATAAGATTCGCTATAATTATTAGTTTTTTAGAAAGTATTAATTATCGTATAAAGATATTCGATATTAATATCGACTATTTAATACTCTAACGAAGTAGGATTTCGATAGATTTAGTTTTATATAAGAGGAGTTCGACTACGAGCTATATAAGAACGTTACTTCTAAATATTTTAAATATACTATTAATTAAGAAATCGAAGCTCTTACTAGATATCGACTTAATATAAAAAAGACTTTAAATAGCGTTAAGTCTTGATACTTCGAGTTAAAGTCGTAAGTCGCTTATATAATTATCGAATAGATTAATAAGATTATAAGGTAATAGATCTTCAAATTAGAGCGTATTATAGATTCTCTATAATTAATAAATATATTAGATTTCTAGAATAAGATGTTATATAGATATCGTATTAAGACGAAGTCTATTAAGATAGATTAATAGCGAGATATATAGTTAATATACGCTATTCTCCGCTTCCGCCTATCTATCTATTATAATAATCCCCGAGAAGCGATAATATAACTCTCCGCTACAGCGATAGTAGTATAGAGTGATAATAGTGATAGTAAGATAATAGCGATAGAGAGGTGACAGCGAGGTGTGCTAAATCTCTATATCCTATATATTAACTTTAGTGGCGGAAGCTAGAGAAGCCGCGCGACGCTAAATATTTAGACTGGCTGTACTCTAAGTGGGACCCGTCTTTGTAAGTGTGAAGATCATGGCCCTGATCGAGTTAGCGGCGGCCGACAAAATGTTATCGGCTAATTACCGAATCATACTCCGAAACTATAAATCCTTATCGAATCATACCTCTAATTACTGAATCATACCCCTTTATTAAAATTTGAGATATGATTCGATAAGAATTAATTGCTTGGGGTATGATTCGGTAATTTATTAAACTTGCTGTGTAGATTATCAGGAGTGAAGACTGGGTGTAGATAGGCTGGGGGGTTAAATTTAGCCTATTGTTAGCAGCAGCCCCTACGGGGGCTGCTGTTAACACCCACTCGGCTTTTATCTGATGTATTTAAGCTGGTAGATCACCCATTAAATACGGTCGAAGACATTTCCTCTTTTCTATGGTCGGATGGCAAATTTTCTCCTTTGCGATTTTTATTATGAATGGCAAATTACCGAATCATACCCCAAGTAATGGCAAATTACTGAATCATACCCCTAGGGGTATGATTCAGTAAGGATTCATAGTTTCGGGGTATGAATTAGTAATTAGCCCAAATGCTATCGATCCGCTGAGTCCTGCGATAGTGCTTCCCTATAAATGGTTAGGAGCGGCCGCCTTGGATGCTCACCATTATGTTTTCCAGTGGACTAACGCACAGTCCGCCAGTGCGGTTATGGATCTACCGGACAGCACAATGACCGACACGAAACGCGCTCAGAATGTCTGTCATGCCTGCATGTTGCGGAAAAAGGCATGCGACAAAGCCTTGCCCGCTTGTAGTTTCTGCGCCAGCCGCCGGCTGCGATGCAGATACGATATCTCGGTGCCTAAGGGTAAAGACCGGCGGGCGTATAATGCAGGCAGACACTTTGTGCCCCTTCAATCCCCGTCTACTCCGAGTGTCTCCCCCCAGGCTAAGGCTATGACGCGACACCTGCCGTCCCCCAAGAGCCAAAAAGATCCTACTCCTACTCAACACTCCAGTCTTTACGTCTTGCCGCAGTCAGTGGAAGAATCGCTCAATCAGCTGGCCCACCACTGTACCGAGCTTACCAAGCTCACGTACGATAACATCCTCGACCGCTACTTTCAGGCCTTTCATACATGGCTCCCTGTAGTATCGCCCGACTCTTTCCGCCGAGAAGCGTCACGGTATCGAGAAGAAGGACGTCTTCCACCGGCAGATTTCACAGTTCTACTTCTCGCCATGTTGCTGATTGTACTTCCTGCCCATGATCCCTATTTGCGATCGCCTCGTGCAAGTCAAGAGTTCCTCTACACGACCACTAAGTCGGCCTTCTCTCAAGCTCAGGCCTCTATCTGCACATCTCTGCGACTAGTCCAAGCGGCGCTCCTCATCGCACTACGGGAATACACATCCGTCCGCCCAGAGGCTGCATACATCTCCATGATGACTTGTGCCGGCTTGGCACGGACTCTGGGAATTGGAATAACTTCGGTGAGAACTACGAGAGACGCACAAAAAACAAGTGACTCCCGACTGGAGACGATGGAGAGGGAGAATCTCGCATGGGCGATTGCGATACTCGAGAGGTACGAGTGAACAAAAACACAATGCCAAGGGACAAGTGAGAACTGTTACTGAAGTTACATCTCAGGCTTATATTGTGTGAAATGGACCAAAGAGATCTACAACCGCAGATAGAGTATCCAGGTCCTGATTGTCGGTTGCCTTCAGATTTAAAACCAACACCAGGGCTCGATTCTAAGCCGGGGCCGAACTTGCAAGCGTTGAATCAAGTTACATTATCGAGCCTGGATGCTGCGGCGCTGGTCAATTCGGACGGCAAGCACAGTTAGTCTCCCTGCTAGACCGACTGTTGTTCGTCATGCGCCTTACCGCTAGCAATAAGGCGTCCAAGCTTGCGGAGCTTGCGGAGCTTGACAGCAAGGTCCGCAGTTTTCTCGAGATGGTTATGGGTGAGCTAGGGTGGAGGCAAACACTAATCTGCGTTCCCGTTGCGCTTTGTATCAGGTAAGCATCATGGACGGTGAGCCTTGATGGTAGCTAACGGCAACGTTAACAGGCTGCTTTTCCTTCTCCATGGGTCAGTCCTCGACACTCTCCAACATTCCAAAAGTGAGACCGACCATCAGAAAAGAGACATGTCGTGGAGCGGGCTCGACATGGTGTGTAGAATGGTACTCGATGTCACGCGATGGCACGGTGAAGGAAAGGCCCCGATAATGCCAATCTGCTCTTTCTATACCCTTCGGGCGGCTAGAAAACGCATACAGGAGCGGAACAAACTCGTTGTGGATGAGGCACTGTCTCGTGACATTGACAGTCTACTGAGCGCGGAAGAGGAATACCGTAAGACGTGGGTGTTTTAGGAATTGCAGGCCGTCGATGCAGAAACTTCGTCAACGAACTTTGCACCGCAAAAGACCCACCATACTCTACAGCGATTACCGACCACAACAAAATCCACTCCCGTCTTGAGACCTGAGCAAAACGTGACTGTTCCTAAACAGTAAGTAAGTAACCGTTGGAATTCAGCATCTTAGCCCTATTATGCTTGGCAATAACTATAAGTAGCATACAAACTCTATAGAAAAATAATAAGCCGTTATCAAATTCATTAAGTTATGAGCTCGATTTTACGAAACTCGTTACTACGACGACTTCCTTCGTAAGAGATTATTAAAGATATTCTTACGTCGTATAATTTAGCTATAGAGATCTCGATCGACGTTCGCTACGTTAATATAAGTTATAAATTATTACCTCTACGATTTCTTAGCGTATTTTTATATCTCTATATATATTCTATAATATTATATCGATTATAATACTATTAAAGATAGAAGATTAAGAGACTTAAAGATTTAAGCTAGAATATAGAGAAGAAAAGACGAAAGCGTATTAGATAAGATAGTTAGGGGAGGACCCTATAATACGTCTATAAAGCTCTCTACGAAGGCATTCGATAAGGCAATTAGAGAAGAATAATTTAAAGGTTATGAAATAGATATTACGAAGCCTAAATATAAAGGAATAGATACTCGCTTAAAGTCTATAAACTAATTACTCGATATACTCTATAGTAAGTTATCTCGAAAAGTCTTACTACGATAGATATACTTATATCTAAAGTACTCTTCTCGATTTCTTTATATAAGCGAGGTTTATAAATTTAAGAAGACTTTAAAGTAGAATATAAGTAATTAATTTATATGAAAAGCTATAGCTATAGTCCTAGAAGGAAGTAAATAAACCTTCGCTATAGAAGAAGTATTAAAATTTAATATCTTAGTCTTATTATACTTGATAATAACTATAAATAGTATATAAACTTTATAGAAAAATAATAAGTCGTTATTAATTTTATTAGTAATCGTAATCTATAGCTATATAAGCGTATTATAAGCCTAAGCCGCCTTAAGTTAATTTAAGAACTCTCTAAGCTATTTAAGCTATTTCTAAGCTATAATAATATAGAGTAAAGCGAGACTAAAGCGAAAAGCGAAGGCGAAAAGTTAACTAATCTATTTACTTAAGTAATTAAGACTTAATCGATAAATAGAGTACTATAGATAGAATAAAGTATAATCTAGTAAGTTAGACGTTTACGCGTAAAGATTATTAAACTTCTTTATATAACTGCGAAGAGTTCTATAACATTTTTATTAACTTTAAACTTAGATTATTAAGATAATAATATTATAATCGTAATTACTTTTATCGACTAGTATTATCTCGCGTAACGTCTTATAAAAACTATACGTATAAATAAGTTTTAAATAATAATTAGCTAGATTCTAAGGCTTAATTATATATAAATAGCGATTTACTATATAGCTTAATTCTAGAAAAACTTTCTCTATATAAGATAGAAGATTTAAAGTCTAAATATAAGAAAATATTAAAAAATAAGACGCGGGTAAGTAAGAAAAGTTTAAAAAATCTCTTTTTATAATAAGAGGAATAAGAATAAAAAGTAAGAAATAGAAGGAATACGATCTATTTAAGGCTCTTTTAATATAATAATCTCGATTATTCTATTATAAATATATATTATATCTCTCTCTTATTAATTCTTAATTAAGCTATAGCGATTAATACTATTTTATATAACGTTTTATAAAAATTATATATATAAATAAGTTTTAAATAATAATTAATTAGATTTTAAGATTTATTATATAGTTTAACTCTAGAAAAACTTTTAAAATAAATAATTTATATTTAATAAAAATCTATTAGTTTTAAACTATATAAAAACGCTAAAAATAATATAATACGACGAAAATATAAATTAAATATATTTCGATATATAAGCGATATAAGTTAGACTTCTAACGACTAAGTAATTAAATCTTATTATTAATTAAGTCAACGTCTCTCGCGAAGATAGCGGCTTCTCTATAAAAAGAGTATTTTAAATAATAACTCGAGTAATTAAGTATATATAGAGTACTTTATAACGTAGCGATAATATACTATCTTATAAAGATTTTATTTAAATTAAATAGCGATAATAATCTATTAATAGAGAAGCGAGTAAATAAGTTTTATAGCGAATAAATAAAATAAGTATTATTATTTATAGTAATAATAAATAGCGTAATTCTTCTTTTAAATAGATTTATCTTTAAAAATAATAGTAATAGCTTTATATAGTAATTATATAGCGTAATTAAATATCTTATAATATATTATTATTCGAAATCGCTATTTTTAAATTTAGTTTAGGATTATATAAATTCGCTTATATAAAGAAATATAGTAAATATAAGATAAAAGAAAGTATATAAAGTAATTTTCTCTAAAGAAGTTTTATTAAATTAGATAAGAATATAGAGTAGTAGATCTCGTATAATTAAATAACGTTTTTTAATATTAGTCTCGTTACGTAATCTACGAATATCGATAATTACTCGCTATAATAATAGATAATAAAAAACCTCGAGATTCTCGAATTTTATATTTATATAAACTAAATAAACGCTTATAAGATAGACTTTAATAGATTTAATCTAAATATAATAATTAGTTAGATATACTATTTAGTTAATAAGTAATTAAATAATAATAAAAAACGCGATAGTTCTTAATAGAATATAAAATTCGATATAGAAGAGTAAAGACCTTCGTTATTTAATAGCTACTTCTTATTTTATTAATTAGACTCTATTAAAGATATCTCGTAATATTATAATTTAAAGAAGTCTTCTTATATTATAACTTAAATAAATTACGATTTAATAATTCTTATATAGATTAAAAGCGCTTAACTATAAATATAAGTTAATAATTTTATTAAATTTAAAGCGAGAGAGTAAGTTAATTAAAGTATTTTACTTAATAGAAATTTAAATTATATTAGTATATATAAAAGAATAAGATAGAACTAAGCTTGAAAACCTTGAATTTGTATGTGCAGCCAATTATCAATTCGGGTTCGCTACGCTCTTTGATTAGACCGGCTGACTCATCGCGGGTAAATAAATTAGCGTCCGCAACCATCAAAATCTCGCCCTCCCACGCCTCCACGCCTCCCTCATCAAAAAAATAGGTGTACATTATTGACACATAGAATAACTTTTTTGTTTTCTATTAAAATTTTGAGATTTTTTTTTAAATTATAGAACGAAATGTGGGCTTTCAGATAAAAAAAGAATTTCTAAATTTAGTCTTATAATATTAAAGCGCAAGGAATTCAAATATCGCTCACCAAAGTTCGCTCGACAGCCGGACAGCCCGCTCACCAAAGTTCGCTCACCAAAGATCGCTCACCTATTCACTCGATAGCCCTGATCAAAAAAATGATTATGAATTTAATTCATAGGCCTTTACTCGTTATAAATAATATTATATTAAGCGAATAGTATAATTATTTATTTAAGCGATATTATAATTAATCTATATATAGAATTATTATTAATATTCTCGATAACGACGCTATTATTATAATAGAGTATAAGATATAATTAATATAAGTAAAATAGCTATCTATAAATAATTATAAGAATAATAAGTATTTCTTTAAATTAAATATTCTTTTTATAATAGCGAATAGCGAAGTATATATTAAATATATTATTTAGTTTAAAATAAATAACGATATTCTTAAAAATATATCTTTCTATTCTATACTTATTAGAAGTATTTATTTATATAAAATAGTAATAGCGTATAACTATACGACGAAGTAGATATATTTTATTTTATTTAAATAGAAAGATATCTTATTAGCGTAGATTCGCTGCGATTACGATAATAATATAATAATATCTTTATTTTTTAAATAATATAGAATAAAGTCTTCTTAGAAAAGCTTTATTAGAGATTATTATTTTAATAAAGAAAGATAGTAGATCTATCGCTAATTTAAGCTCGTTATAAGAAATACTTTATCTATTTAAAAGGGCTTTTATTAACTTTTTTATTCTTTTTAACTTATTAAAAAGAAGTCTAATCTTTATCTTCTTACTATCAAATTAAATTCTTAAAAATTCGATTAGAATACTTTTTTTATTCTTAATATAATTTATCTTTAGATTATAATTATCGTAGATAATATTAAAGTTATTACTAAATAGAGTTATATCGCTATTAAGCGAAAGAATAGCGAAGAAGTTATTTAGATAATAAAAAATAATACTTTAAAAGAGGATAATAATAAGTATTTAATAAAGGGTCTTAGCGAATAGATCGAAAATAAAGAGTACGATATATAAGTTAAATAATAAGAATCTATTAATATAATAGAAGCTATTTTAAAAGAAATTTAGTAATTAAAAGTTTAATTCGACTATAGAAATATATCTAAATATATTAACGAGGTCTCGCTTAATTATAACTATATTCTTACTCTAGACGAGTAAAATATTAATAATATTATTTAATATAATATATTTAATTATCTTATAGACCTCGTAAATATAATAGTTAACGAATTATAATTATAGAAAGAAAAGATTATAAATTCTTTTTTAATTATTATTATATTTTGAAATAAGATCTAATAAAGACGAAATAAAGTATTCTAAGAGTTCTACATCTAATTATATTAGATAATTATTATTCTTCTACTTTTAAAGGTTTTTAAATAGTATTTTAAATATTATAGCGATATTAAAGTAAGATTTACTTAATAATAACTAACTAGAGTTTTAATAGTCTATTTTAATATTATAAGTAATAATTATAAGTAAAATATTAACGAATATTTAATTAAGATAATTCTTAAGCTATTTTTTTTAATTATCTTTCTTTAATAAACTACGTCTTTTTAATAAAGACTTATTTAGCGAGATAAATATATATAAAAATAACTTAGCTATCAATTTAAGATTTCTCGATATTAATTATAATTAAGGAATAAGAG